TGCCTTCTCGTGGCATTACTGTTGTTTACAAAATTGAGAGGACGAAAACTGAATGTCCGGCGCTTTAACCGGGTTAGTAGATATGGAGGGTCCAATCAGGGTAGTTGGAAAACCCTGATTCCAAACCAATGGTGAACATGGGCTACAGTATCCTGATGGTACAAATGGAGTATGAATCAATCGTTGATCACCGGTTACCATGGGACTGTATTTCCTCACGATGCTCCACTGCCTTGTGGATCAGACGTTTAGGTGAAAGTATCCCAGTGTAGACCCTTAAGAAAAGCACCTGCATCAGTTGGGGCACCCGAGCAGTATCACAGCCGTCACACAAATCAAATGAGATTTGTGCGGCGCATATGTATCTGATGCCCCCCCTTGTACCAATATTTATGTGTTTAAATAAATAAATAGAATAAATCATAGCTCAAACATAGTGTAGATATTATACAACTATGTGATTGTAAATTGATTTAATACTACGCTACATTACTCTTGTTATTTATATATACAAAAACAATACATAATTATAGAGGCGTGGTAACTAATATAATTTGGATTAAACTTGTGATTGTCATATCACAAGCTGAATAAACATTGATATAAGTAAGAATGAGAAAAAGTAATATGATGAAAGCTTAAGGATGAAAAAGAAAAGTACATAAACATACAATGAAATAAATGCGTATGGTTACTGTTGTGTCCTTTACGTGATTATGGTAAATACATAATATAACTATCGGCATTATAACGCGTAGAACTTCACATTCTCAAATCAAAAGACGGGAAAAAAAGAGGGGAAGCAATCATTAGCTAAGAGTCAAAAATGCACAGAGTTTTTAGTATAGGCTATAACGTGATTATTATCCAGCCCATCCGTAATTAGAAAGTTATACGATTGTCCGATCAATCCATGTCACGTTGATATTCTGAAAGATTCTATCGTACTCTGATGGAATGGAATCTCCTCGGCTCCTTTGGAGCTTACAGAGGCCCCGTCGTGGTTTATCAGAGCCGCCTCAACAGTTACTAAGAGATATTAGGTTATCCGTTGTATAGTAGAGTAGTATTAGAAAATGCAATTTAAACATAATGGATCGACTGGTAGTTAATTTTGGTTAAAATTGAACAACACAACATAAAGTTTGTGAACTTTTATTCAATATTGAAATCAGTAGTACTTAGAGAGAAAGATAGAGATAACAAGTGGACGTAATCTCATCAGTTTATCAACCTCGACCGCTGATCATCTCAATTTATAAGAAAGGACTAAAATCGTCTTCTGATAACCACAGAAAAATCAGTTTGACTTATATATTACTTAAATACCAGCCCTTATAATCGTCCGATACTTAACTAGGGCTCGTGAATAACAAACCCAGGAAAATCGAGCTGGTTTCAGATCTGGACGCAGATGTGTTGATCAAATATTCACGCTTCATTAGGTTCTGAAACACAGACATACTTACTGTTATTCAAAACCAGCTGCATTTCTTGACCTTAAGACAGCGTTCGACTTAGTTGACCGAGAAATCTAGTGGTAGTACTTGTTATTAGGGATTAAAGATAAAATAAGTAAACCTTGTGAAGGTTCCCTACTCAAGCAACATGAGTTAATTCATATCTTATAAAGAAATGTTATCAGAGTATTAAAATTCAAGTGTTATTCGTTATGGTTACTCCGTAACTCCCTTCCTATTTAATTACGTCGTAGATGTTCTTCTAGACATCATATTTTCTTCATCTAACTCTTCACGGACTGATTTCTCACTGAGAGATTAGTCAGAAAAATTGGAATGGGTAATTAATATCATCTAATTTGATGATGCTAAAAGGATCCAGGGTCTTCTAAACACTAAGGACGCGTTTCTCCAACTATAAATAAGAAAGCTAATCTAAATCATCTTTTAAACTGGTAACAGTGAGTGAAGTAATTGAATGATTTGACTAATGGTGTAGTGTACTAGGCAATAGTTCGTATCGCATTACTCTACGACTGTGAGGGATGGTTTATTTAACCAGCTTCCGATCATATGTGTCTTCGAAACAATGTCCGCGTATCACGAAACGACCGAGTTAGTCATATGAATGCCCATGTATAGAGTTCTGGGAAAAGAAATTTATTTCTTTATTTAAACATATAAATATTGGTACAGGGGGGGGGCACCAGATACATATGCGCCGCACAAATCTTATTTGATTTGTGTGAGGGCTGTGGTACTGCTCAAGTGCCGAAACTGAAGCAGGTGGTTTTCTTAACGGGCCACACTCGGAGCCTATGACCTAAAGGTCTAGTCCACAAGGCAGTGGGGCATCGTAAGGAGACGCAGTCTCATGGTAGTCGGTGATCAACGATTGATTCATACTCCATTTGTTCCATAAGGATACTGGAACCCATGTGCACCATTGGTTTGGAATCAGGGTTTTCTAACTCCCCCAAGTGGACTTTCCGTGTCCACCAACCCGATTAAAGCACTAGACATTCAGTTTTCGTCCTCTCAATTTCGTAAAGAACACCCCAGCCACGAGAAGGCCATAAGTAAGAAAAGATAGTAAATCGATTGATGTGGTGATAAATATTCCACAAATAAAGTGGTTGACAAATGTGTTGCAGTATTCACAACTACAGTCTACTTAGGCGTATAGTCTTCGTCAGTATAGGAATAAGTCAAAAGAATTCTAAGACTGATTAAATCAAAATGTAGCACCAGGCTATGAACTCAGTAACCGCTAATCTGAGACATCATAGTTAAAATAAAATAAACAAGGGTGTAAACCGAAAATTACATAGAGGAAGTATAATCTATTCCTCAAAAAATAATATCATATTGAGCTTTTTATATAATAACTATACACAAATACACATGTCTGATTTACATAATGATTAACATGTAAATAAAACAAATTCAACAAGTCTTCATACATAAATACACATGAAATCGGAACCTTTCTTATGATCAAAAAGGAAATGTGATCAGTTTTTTTTTTTAGTAGAATGAAATTCATTGATTATACAATTATTGTACACATATATTGCATAATCATTTCAAACAAAAAAATACGGAAGTTACGTATAACATACAAATGATAAAGTAATCCAAGTAATTTAACAAATTGAATTTACAACAAGTGATAATTCAAAATCCTAAGCATCAATGGGAAGATTGAAACAAACAATACTGAGTGAATTCAAACTTCACACCATTGTACAAGCAAGTGGCTACCAGGAATCAGTAGCTGAGTGGATAATGGGATGACGTTTGAAGCGAAAGGTAATGGGTTCGAGTCCCCAGAGTGAACATCAACTCTGAAATGCAGGTACATCCAGCTGAAGAGTCCCAAATAAGACGAGACACGCGTCAAACTGGATTTCACTGCTAGTCACTATCCATCTTTGCTTATAATAACAATAATAATAAATGTTCCATTCGATTTATGAAGTGATAACTGAGAATTAATGAAGAAAAATCGAATATTCACTTCGTCTTCATCTTTGTGTTTTTTTTAATTCAAGATATTTAATGGGAAATGAGAATGAATATGCTTATACTAGGTGATTTCTTGAGGACTCTATGAATGTATACATATAGCTACTGAATAAACATACGATTTAAGATATTAAGGTTAGGGTTAAACTTGGAAATAATTTTCAAGACATTTTACAAGTGTTGAAAGCTGTTTATAGAAATGTAATATTGAAAAGAACTTTTTTTGAGGTAGATCAAGCATTTCATTGACAACCGGTAAAGACTACAAGGAATATATGAAATCATGATCATTGTCGACAGCGATCTTTTATGAAAACATCAAAAGTGTACAGTCAATTGTCTATTCCAGTCACCGACTTCACTATTTGAATGGTGTTTACCGCAGTAAATTTAAAAAATTCATCTGTGAACAACATTAAAGTAATGTAATTTATATCACAATGTACTGACTTCCTCTCTTATTCACAGTGAAATATCAATTTTTAACTGAGATGACATTAATAGCTCTATAAAGCTATTACATCCTAGTGAAGATTAAATTATAGGTAACTTCTGATATGTATTTATGAACAAATATCATACATATATTCTTATTGTATAACTACTGAGTAGCTAGGTTATGTATATTTATATCCCTCTTATTATAAGTTACTTTGACCTATAGATTATTATAATACGACTTACTGTTCTTAGGTTATACTATGGTGTGGGTTACTTATATACACATAAGTAGTATATGGTGATGGTCAGACATAGAATGTAATTGGGCAGGAGATCGATAAGGAACGAACAGAAACGAAGCGCAATCGGTATGAAAATGCATGAACAATGAAGCCAGAGAAGACGGACTGATATTTGCAGAAGGAATAGTCAAGATTGAGACAATAGATTGTTATTTTGCAAATTAACTATTTACTGTATGGTTATGAAATTCTAGTGAAATAGTCTGTAATTTGTGCTTAAATGCATTCGATTTTCCCCACCCGTGTCTTGGTCACTACAATACCCAGTCTACTAATTACAGTATCTCACATTCACTGCCACTTTTTGGCTTGGTCTTGTACAAATGTTATTCCTTATTTTATGGTAAGCAGTAGTCTCTTTGGCTTGTATATAAAACCAGGTATGTTTGAAATCAGTGATTAGTATAGTGGGTGCTAGTATTGGTGTTCTGGGCTTGACTAGCAGAGCTAGGAAGAAAAGGACTAATAAGGAGGCTAGGCTGCTCATAACGCTCGATACACCATTGGTTTGGCACAGTACCAATTTTGCATAAGCCGTATTCCGATTAGCGAATAAGTCACGTGACAATTAACCAGGTTTAAAGACACAACAATAACAGTATTTTTACTTGAATAAAATTAGGGAACTGCCAAAGAATTTGCAAAATGAATTAACTAAGAAATGTAAATAATAAAGGATATGGACAGTGAGTCAATTATACGATATATATATATATATATATATATATATATATATATATATATATATATATATATATATAATTCTTACCAGGTAGATCATCGTCGACATTTAAACCACCACTTTCCGACTCCAGAGTATTTGGGAGTTCATCAAACTCAAATCCACCGCTAAAATAAAAATATTTAACTTATGAATTCAATCCAATTAGATGGAGAATTTACATTAACTTAAGCCTTGTTTAAAAATCAGAGAACCTATTTGAAGATAATGATCAAAAATTATTAATCTAATTAAATTTTATCAGTATACTTAATGAAGTTATTATAAAGATCAATTCAATCTCCACAAAGAGGGAATTTTAAACTCAGAATGTATAAATGCGGAAGCACTTAGAATATATTTATACTCTAACATCATAATATATTGTTCACAGTTGTATGTTATTGCTTTTTTGAAGTAGCTCAAGGTTTGTATATAATCAATTACACAATTTTCTAGTTAAAATTTAACTTCACTTAACCAATAACTAGTAGGCATGTTTTTTAGTTATACTGCATAAATTTTTTTATATATATATAGTTGAAATAATGAGTCAATTGAAGCTAAACCACCATGGAAAACCTGGAAGCACTGCTTGACGGCCGTTTCGTTCTGTTGTGGGAGACTGATAGGTCCTACGTTCGAATCTCGAGAGGCGGGATCACGGATGCACACTGTTGAGTCTCACAATAGGATGAAACGGCTATCCACTGCTTCCAGGTTTTTCATGGTGGTCTAGCTCCAATTGACTCATAATTTCAACTATGAAAAGTTTCTTTTACTTATTTCTTGATCGACTCTGACGATAAATATTGAGTGATCACCAGTTACATGCTACCAGTTCCAAAATTGACATTCGAATAATGTTCATTCTTTTCGATGCTGATTACCAGCCACCATTATGCCTCTGATTATACTTTTTTGTACCTTATAAAGCGATAAGTCTTAGACTTTTAATATATTCACCTGAATATGTTATTCGATTAATAGATATAATAGTGTTAAAACAAACAAAAACAGATAACTTGTTGAATTATCTAGATAGATGACAGGAAAAAGTAGCCCAGATATTCAAGCAGGCCGGCAAGATATGTAAATAAGGTTAACCATCAATTCTTCAATATTTAATAAAAGTAAAATGTCTTTCATTTTCTGTCGCTTTTCCATTTGTTTAGCTTTTGAATATAGTATATAGGACTATAATTTTCAATTAGTGGACACGGCGAGTCCACCTAGGGGAGTTTGAAAACCCCGATTTCAAACCAATGTTGTACATGGGCTCCAGTATCCTGATGGAACAAATGGCGTATGAATCAATCGTTGGTCACCAGTTACCATGGGACTGCATCTCCTTACGATGCTCCACTGCCTTGTGGATCAGACCTATAGGCTCCGGGTGTTGCCCCCTAAGAAAATCACCTACATCAGTTTGGGCACCTGGGCAGTATCACAGCACTTACACAAATCGAATGAGATTTGTGCGGCGCATACATATCTGGTGCCCCATTGTACCAATATTTATGTATTTAAATAAATAATAAATAAATAATTTTCACTGACTACTTCATTTCTATCATGTAAAGCTATTTACATATATCTTTAATGAATATATCACTGTAGCATAACTGAGAGTTTGAAATGAAATTCTTAGTGAGAAGTATACTCTCTTACTTACTAAATAAATGGAAAAATGTCCGAAAATGTTCAATTCATTTTGCATATTGATCAATGAAAAACAAGAATAAGTTACAAATTTACAAACATATATTCTGTCATTTCTCTACTAAATGAATCAAAACTAATTTATAAACTAGCCATAGAAAAAAAAGACAAACAATCAATTTTGGCATAAATTTTAAAATTTAGTTTACAAGAAAGAAACAAGCAGAAAATAATGACAATTATAGAGATAATGTGAAGATTATCATACAGAACAATAATTACTTCTAGAAGGGGTTTTGTGGAGATTTAGTATTTATCATTGTTGAAAGCGTGAATCAATTGAAGCTAGACCACCATGGAAAACCTGGAAACACTGGACGGCCGTTGTGAGATAGGAACTTACTGAAGACAATTGGTGAATGGTTGCTCAACTTCGTGGATCAGTTGAAGTTAGACATTAACACCGTTGGATGCCAGCTCAGTGGTCTATCGGTTAAGGGCTTCGGCTCGAGACTGGTAGGTCCTGGGTTCGAATCTCGCTCGCGAGAGCAGGTTCGTGGATGCGCACTGCTGAGGAGTCCCATAATAGGACGAAACGGCCGTCCAGTGTTTCCAGGTTTTCCATGGTGGTCTAGCTTCAATTGACTCACGCTTTCAACAATGATAAATAATTACTTCGACAAATTTAATTTACCGACGACATATGTTTACTATTAGTTTTACAATAGAAAAATATTTGAACAAGCCATCAAAAATAACTAATGCGGTCAAGTTCAATAAGAAAAAACATGATTGAACAAGTGTTTAGTACGGTGTTGATTGTTAAAAGCTTTGTTTTATATGTGTTTTTTTGTTTCTATGAAGTTAGTTCATACCAGTCTATTGAGTAAAATATTAGAATGATTTGAAAATATCAATCGCTGATATTATTTTATATGGATAATTTTTACATAGGTCTGTTACCAACTACCAGATAATTTGGATGTTACAACATCTGTGGAATAGATACACAAAGAAGTGGCATAACCAGGTAACTTATCTTTTAGTTGAGGAATCATCATAGATTGGTTCGAGTACGATAGACAGAGGCCGGCTGCAATAAACGTTCTCTTCACTGCTCTAGTAAGTCTATCACATAGTACATTACCAGCTAAATCGCCGTTGAATTGCAGTTTCAGGAAGAGAGGTTTCTTAGTAGCTATTGATATCTCTGTTTTCTTATTTGTTACACGCAAGTGTTTCTTCATGAAATCTTGTGGATAACCCCTTTCAATCAACATATTATGTATGACCTCTAACTCCTTGTTAATTGAATCGACCGAGCATATCTTCCTAGCTCTATTTGCCAGACATTTGACTAAGTATCTCTTATAGTGAAGGGGTACAAAGCTTAAGAAGTGAATGTACTGGCTTCATGAAGAATTTTTCCTAAACACACTTCTACTGATAGAACCGTTTGCTTTTTTGTTTAACAAAACTTCAAGGAAATTTAGTTTATTATCTAGTTCCTCTTCCTGTCATTACACTATCAATTTGTACTTTTCACCTATTATTATTTTTAATTATGTAATCTATTGCACTGTTATCATTGACTCATAAACTGCCTTCATTAGTTTAATAATTTCGTATATGCTTATAAATATTACTATATATTAGAGTAAAGCCTGATGAAGATCTAATCGAAAACAATATTGATCGCTTATATATGTTGTTCTAAATCTGTGGAATAAACTCTCAAAAATATTAAAAGCTATACGAGCAGATGGATAGATCAACAAAAAACGGGAATACACTACTTGTTGAGATGTTAGGTGGTTGGAGAAAACCCTGTTTGAACTAGATTCCGTGTTAGTTGGTATTTATCACAGCAAGATATATCTCCAACATTAAGGAAACGGATGTCTCTCTCTAAGGCTTCTAATCCGAGTCACTTAGCTTCAAAGTTTGAGAAGTTATCAATGACCTACTCAGGCAATAACTGTAGTAAAAGATATATACAACTGAATAATGACAGAGTAATGACCACTGTCATGCTTATCTACTGGCTTAGCGTTGATCGAATCCTGTCGATTAAATAGCCACTAGTTAAGTGGCACTGCTTTAGAATGTGAAGCTGGGTGATGCAGGTTAGAATCCCATCCATTTCTTCGAAATTGCGAGCACGCCATACTGGCTAGCTTCAATTGCCAGAAAAAAAAGTTAAGCGAGGTTTCCTGCCAACCATCTCTCAACAACAAACACCTTAAAATAGTGAATGCGATATTGGGTCACTTAAACTGGTTAACGGACACATTGCAACTTGATTGATTGAATCCCATCAACACTTTGAGGACTAGATAGACATGATAATGGTTACTCTTTAACTTTTAATAAAAAATGTACATCATTTGCATAATTTTATCATTAATCACTCGATTTTTTTTTAATGTTTATATGATGTACACTTACCTAGTAGCATCATAGCCAACACCAAGTGAATTTGAATGAACTGCTGAAATATTAATGTACAATAATTAAAACTATATATATTGAAATAATGAAAACTATCACATTGAAATAACAAGGTGATATTTGATATTAACATTGTATTAACATGTTCAATCTCAAGAATCTGTGGTACAATTGAGGTATTCGTTCGCTAAACAAGAGACGGGTACACCATGTATGGTAGTTTGTTGTTTTATTTTATGCATGAAATTAGGAAACATTTCCATAGACTATATTTAATTGATGACATAGGGATCTTTGAAGCATAGCTCGCATTTGATGGAATTATTAAGATATTAATGCTGACGTTACACGTAGTGTCAGGTAAAAAGGCAAAGCGATTGATGATGTTGTTAAGGTGTTCAAGAGATACATTACGCACGTCCAACCAGCTCCTACTCTGACCTTTGGGTAAAAAATTTGCATTTAATGGTTTGCAATTTGAACATCAATTATATGACAAAAGACTAGAAGAAATCGATTCAGCAAATAAAAAACTTGCATATAGATAGTTTTCTTACTAAACTAAAGTTGCCTAGAAAGTTTATCGGAAAAAATCAACACTGTTTCAAGTGAAAAGTAATTAATTTGAGTCTCAAAGTGAACATCGACTCATTAGGATACTGGTAAATTCAGCTGATAATCCACCAATAGATCAAAACTTGCGGTCCGCATTTTACTACTACCAACAATTTATCTATTCTATAAAAGTGGTATACATATGAAATCAAACAATTTGTTTCTTAGATAGTTGACGTAAAAAGCTTCAATTACCACAAATTATGACAATATATGCATACTGGATATGCACATATGCCGATTGAAGACTGACCAATTGCAGTCCTAACACATCGATGGTAAGATTCAAACAAACAATACTAAATGAATTCAAACTTCACACCATTGCACAAGCAAGTGGCTATCAGGACTCAGTAGCTGGGTGAATAACACGATGGCGTTTGAAGCGAAAGGTACTGGATTCGAGTCCCAGAGTGAACATCAACTCTGAAATGCAGGTACATCCAGCTCACGAGTCCTAAATAGGACGAAACGCGCGTCAAACTGGATTCCACTGCCAGCCACTATCCATCTTTGCTTACTGTGACAATATTAGTTTTAACCTCCGAACAAGTATCCCAATAAATCCAAAAAAGCAAAGAACAAATATAGTTCACTAACAAGAACAGAATATCAGTCCCTTAGATATCAATATAAACGTTAAATGGTGATCAAGAATGAAAAAACAAAATAATCAAAATAAAGAAGGATGTGGTTAGAATCTTTAATACAAAAGTCTAGACAGTCCTACTGTACGGAGCTGAAACGTAGAGAACTACTACATCCATCGTCAATAAGGTACAAGTATTTATAAATAGGTGTCTACGCAAAATACTCAACATTCACTGACCAGATACCATCAGTAACAGTGTTTTATGGGAGAGGACAAATCAACTTCCAGCTGAATAGGAAATTAGGAAAAGACGTTGGAAGTGGATAGGATATACATTGAGGAAATCACCAAACTGCATCACAAGGCATGCCTTAACTTGGAATCCAGAAGGGAAGCAGAAGAGAGGAAGGCCAAAGAACACATTACAACGGGAAATAGAAGTAGATATGAAAAGGATGAGTAACAACTGGAAAGAACTGGAAAAAACTGGAAAGGAAGGCTCAGGACAGAGTTGGATGGAGAATGCTGGTGAGCGGCCAATGCTCCTCGACGAGGGGTAACAGACGTAAGTAAGTAAGTAAGTAAGTAAGTAAGTAAGTATGGTCTACATTATAACAAGATCAAACATCACTTACTAGATGATCCATCTATTGTTGAACTTTGATCATGATTAGTTGATCCAGTTAAATTATATTTAGGTGAATTCATGGATAGTTTACGTGGTGAATGTTTATGAATATGATTGTTTAATGTATTTCTTGATTGATCTTGATTATTATTATTAATAAATTTGATTTGTTCAGTTAATTCAACATTAGAACGTATTAATTCATTAAGATGTTCATGTAAACGATTCTCTTCCTTTTTCCATTCTTGTTCTTTCACTTCTAAACGTGAAACTGAAATTGAACCAATTGACAGCAACAACAAAATATATCACCAATAAAAGGTATTTTAATGAACAAAAAAGAAAATAGGGCAAAGAGAGCAATAGACTGTTATATCCTGGTGAAGACATAAGTACGGGTAACTTCCGGGACCTATGAATGGACGATTATTCTATGTATATTCTTATTGTTTAACTATTGAGTAACTAGAATGTGTATATCTATATTCTTCTTATTACAAACTTCATTTTGATCTGTCGATTATTATTATATGAATTACTGTTCCTAAATTGTACTCAGTTTATTGATTACTGTCTCCCACGTTCACAGACACATTTGGCTTGATCTTGTACACATGTTATTTTCTATTTTATGGTTTGATGCGGTCTGTCTGTCTGGTATATAAATCGAGTATGGTTGAAGCTGTAATTGGTGTTCTGGACTCAATTGGGAGGGCTAGACGGACAAGGGACTGATAAGGGCGCTAGACTGCTCATACCGGTCGAAGTCATTGGTTAGCACAGTGCTAAGATTGAAGAAGTCGTATTCCGATTGATGGATAATTCACGTGTTAAAAAGACGGACACAAGATCATAACGAATTGAATACGGCCTTCTTATTTTAGTCATAACAAATTGGCGACGGCCTCTTATAAAGTCACAAAATAGACAAAAAAGGGCGAAGGCCTTGTATTATACGCTGTCCGATTCTGATGCTGATACACATACTTCTTATCGACGAAAACTCGAACCAGCTATTGAGTGAGAAGTCTGAGAGTGAGAGGGAAGCACTCTATTGGATAATCAAATCGAGAAATAATTTTAAACTCATTTATATATAATTTTCCGCAGAAACTTAAGCTACGTTTTTTTATCTATACTGTGACAAATTCCTTATAAAAGGAAGCCAAATCTTGCTCAATCGCGTGGGCCTATCATCTGCATGACATCTGACCGGTCTATAGCACCATAAACAATGTTAGAAACTGTAATGCAAGTGAGTGAGTAGATAAACACCAGCTGAATTGATCTAGTGGAGTAGTGGCTCACAGGTTAAAGCATCTGAATCTTAGCCGTTAGGTCACTGGTCTCAACCCCAGTCCATCTATTTGGATTTATGTAACTAGATAGTTTATCATTAGCTCACAGAGTAACAGTGTGACTCGAAGGCGAGTATATGAATATATGCCTAGTGAGCGAGTTACTGTTATGCCCCGACAAGAATAATGAATGGTAAATTTTGGGATCCGTTTATGGACCAATATGATACATATATTTTTATTGTATAACTGTTAACTAACTAAACTATTCATATTCGTGTCACTCTCATTATACACTTTATTTTAACCTATGAACTATTATGACATGGTTTACCGTTCTTGAGTTATACCCAGTCTATTAATTACTGTTCCCCACATTCACAGTCACCTTGGGCTGAATCTTGTACAAATGTTATTTTCTATTTTATGGTACGATGTGGTCTTTTTGATTGGTATATAAACCTAGTATGTTTGAAATGTAATAACTCATACCGCAGAGGCTGAGATTGGTGTTCTGGACTAACTGGCTGGGCTAAGCAGGAAGCAGAACCGACAAGTGCTCTAGACTGCTAGTACTGGTTCCGTGTGTCATTGGTCCGATAGAAAATTCACTGCTCTCTAATTGGCGGCATCATCATGTTATACATAACAGGGTACTCAGTCACAAGTTATAACAGTTACATGCAAGCTGAATTGACTATCAGTAAATATAATGTAAATTGTATCAGTATAATCAATAATGTAAATCATTAGATAAATAAGTAAAAGTACATGGCAATAGGCTTTGAAGTACACTGGATGAAGGCTAACAATACTATAAAGCTGTTTGAAGCCAATATAAATAAACCACATTTCTAATCTGTAATTGAATGGTCGAAAAGTCAATTCCCCTGAGTTTATTGGATAATTCATTTAGTTTTTAACTAATAAGTTACAGGCTTACATCTTGTTTTATTTAGTTTAATTTAGATATCTGAATAGTATCTCCAGTCATCAAAAAAGCAATAAAGCTCACAAAAAACGATTACATGAAACAAAACTGAAGATCTAGTGAAACTGACCAGTTAATGCAAGTGAAGTAGACGGAAAATTTGAACAATCAACTTTTAATCATTACAACCTAATAAATTATATCTTCACAAGATACAATATTCACAACGAAACATATAATATTTGTTTATTTTTCGTTTTAAATAATGAACCTACCAACAATAGGTTCATACGCCACTGATTCCCTCAGGATCGTGGAGTTCATGTGCACCAACAGTTTGGAATTAGGGTCTCCCAACTCCTTCGTACCCACCAACACAGTTTTAGCTTTTCATCTTCTCAATTACGTCAACAACACCACCGCAGTCAGAAGTCAAAGAGTAGAACTTCCGTTGCAGTGGGTATACACAAGTGGCCACGTAGGCACTATGAGAACGTATAAATTCCATTCATTTGTAGATATCATATACTCTTAAACAATATACTTGACAAGGTGATCAGTAGTAGTTATTACAAGATTTCAAATAGTTTAACAGTCAAAAACATAAATCAAATGACTTCTACCATATATTTACAATGCTAAACGTAAACAATGTGAGTTTACGTGATCACGAGATGTAAGCTTGACAAAAAAGACACTTCTCTTTCTATTTCATCCGACAATTATTGAATACTTAAAATCACATGTACACACTCGAAATGACATATAGTACGTAATGATATATTTATGGTTATTATCAAGTGTTATTTGTGTTGCTTCGTTTTAAATAGTAAATTCAAATTAATCTAAACTGATAATCAAGAATACGTTTATGTGTTTGGCGATTCGAAACAAATATTTATACCTAAGAAGCTAATGGAGTAGTGTATGATAGTTAAAGCCCTCAGGTACGAATTCAAATTCCGTTCCATTCACTTTGATTTTCAGAATCATGGTAGTATCACTAACCTTCCATAAAACCACTATGGTTCAAAGCTATGGATGTAAATGTTTACTTATTAAGTGATTTAATAACATCAACCAGTTACCTAAATTGAAGTAAACAGATATATGAGATAAGATTCCGTGTATAGTTGAACAAATATTACCTTTAAACAGTAAAGGATGTATATTAATCAAATTAGTATGTACAGTGAAGTTTATGAATACGACTTTAGGTAAAAGAAACAAATCAATTGATGAGAGTGCAGACTTAGTGAGACATGGTAGTACATGTTCAACAACAAAAAAGCATTTAGTGCCTAACAAGATTCCAACTTCCACCAACTAAATCAATTTCCAGTTGCATCAAGTAATAGACAACAATCTAACTACTCAATCATATTCTACTTTGAAGGTGTGAATAATATATACATCAAGCGTAGATTAATTTAAACGACATTAAGTAATCGACAATAAAGACTCTCAAATTATTCCTTGTGTATGATGTGATAACCCACTGTAGAATGAGAAAATTGAATCACTCCGTACCCACCAACCAAGTTAAAGTGCCGGATATTCGCTTTTCAACCTACCAATTTTGTAAACAACACCCTCACCGCGAGAAGGCTGTGAGTAGGACTTCCCTGACAGTGTCTGCATACTCAAGACTATAAGAGAGTAAATCGAGGAGAGTGGGTCTTCCTTACTCTCGACAGAAACAGGACATTTGCAAGCAGATTAAGAGTATCTAAAACTAAATTGGTCATTGTTATCACATCAGCATTTAAATAATCTAGGAAAAACAGTAAACTATTGTCCAAATAAAGACAAAGCCTCCATCATGACCACAAAATAGGAATCCCTTCGTGAGTGTTCAGATGTCAATTCATATACATGATAATCGTAAATTGCACAATAACCTACTGTTTCCACCATATATTTAATAATTTTACTAAACCATTTATCAAGTATAAATTTAGGAAGTAACCTTTGAGTCACACTATAAGTGTGAGGGCTAGTTGTCCAAACCAAAGTAGCTAAACTAAGTGTTCAAGTCCAAAAATTATTGGCTGAACGCCCAAAAAACCAACAAGTAAGATCCTAAAGTAAACCCGGATGTAAAATTACAGTTTAAGATTACAGATAAAATAAAGGTAACGCGATTTCACTCATTTGCACTAATTCACCTCTTTTATTGATGGTACCACGTTCATTTAATTATTATTTAGGCACTAGTCAGCTTATTTTATACAGCTAGATATTTAGTTAACAACCTTAACTGCAAAGTATAACTACTTGATCAAAATTAAATGGTACCTATTTTCATCAGTCAGTAACAATACCACGAGATAAAATGTCACCGAAAAGGTTGAACATGCCTACAGACAGATTTTAATGCTTAAATATAACTTTAATGTGATTATTTACGATTATTAAAAAGATGTATATAGAATCTAAAAGAATATAAGTATGGAAAAAAAACGAAAAAACAAACCTTGATCTTTAGCCAATTGAAGTCTCAATTCCGTTTGCCGACAAGATGTAGATAATGACTCATTTTTTGCCTCATTCACTCTTCTCTCTTCATCAAAAGCATCCTCTGCATTTAGCAAACGCTAAAGTTTTAAATTTGCATCGAAAGTAAGTTTAATGAGTTTGTTAAAATTGAGCAGAACCATGTGAAAATTTTATCACAAAAACATGATATTTGAAATATGTTACAATCTTTTAAGCCCTTCAGAACGGTAATCATGCTACAAGTTATATCTATAACGAAGTGTACACGCAGTTCAGTGGTAAAAATAATAAGAATGTATGGTGTGACGGTATACAGTCGACTTTCCAACAGGTTGGCATCCCCAGATTTGTGATTATTATTATTAGCACGAAAATCATTTACTAACAAAAAGTATACACTGTCAGTATACAATGTCTAATAATACGAATGCAAATAACACAGTTGAAAGTCAACGAAATAAACTATATATATGAACTTTTTCAGTTTCGTGTACAGTGAGGACGCGTGAACACAATGTCGAAGTTTAGCATGGAACTACGGATGAAAAAAACCAGTTTTGAACCTCTTTAAGTAGGGTGAATGTGTAACAGGCTACGAATACACGAGATGCTGGAGGAGAAGTTTAAGTTTACACAAATCAAAAACTGATATTATGCTGTGAAATATCAAACAGATCACCTTATATGGTAGTAAATTTATTATCTGACTTGGTAATTATTAAAGTCTGAAACACTCCCACATTAAACCAACTGGATAAATTCTTTTGTTTAAAATTCACTCACCAGTTCGGACTGTTTTCGAGCAGCCTTTTCAGCAGTAAGCTGGTCATAAATATGCTCATTCTCTTCACGTAATTGTCTTACTTCAGCATGGTATGCAGATTGATCTTTATATAGTTCATCCAAATTTTCCAGCAGACTAATTATTAATGGCATTAAACGCTCAACAACGGGTAATCCATAAGCCTCAATCATAGTTTCAAACTCTTTGTATATACCAGAAGCTATAGACTGAACTCGTTCAGACATAACCACTGAAACATGTGAGCTACGATCTAATTCGTTGAAATTCGAGGATAAATAAACATCATCAATATCATTAAAAGGAGACTTCAAGTTGAGTAATTTCTTTTCTAATTCAGTACCACCGTTTGCAATATTTTCATGAACTATTGCACTTTTAGGAGAATGGGACATTCTAACTGGAAATATTCAAAAACAGTAACAATAAATACTCGGTACAGTGGTGATCTTCCAATTTAATATTGTAATGAAGAGAAAATTTGAAGTAGAATTGCAAATGTTAAGAAAAAGATAGACCGTAATAATAAGAGCAGGTGTTTATCAACAGTAGTTTGAAGCTGAGTACATTAACCTGAATTGGATAAAATAAATTACACAATAAACAACGGAATTAGCACAAATATATATTGGTTTAAATTCCCACACTTTAGAGTGGGTATAATAATAGAGTGAAAATAATGATGTTAGTCGTAAACTAAACACGGAGAAGATAATACAATAAACTCGTGTAAATAATACGCACTACTGAATCATGTGACACCGCATATCCCTAATTTACAGTCATCGTGCCAAATAAACAGCTAGAATATATGGTAAACTGTTGTTACCTCTCCTTTACTTATGTTGACTATACATGAAAATAAGTATATATGAACGATCAAATGGCTGTCCGGTGATATGGTAACAGTCAATTTTACTCCACCCCATGAGCTACTGTATTATCGAGACTAATTTGCCATAAGTTATTACATACAATGAAATTCAACGGTTATTTAGTCATTATTAGCTAATCTGCAAACAAAAACTGAGGTTTTCACCTTGCAGACAAAACTGTAAGTATTTAAGAAACAAATCAAATTCACTTGTGCGTTTCAGAGCATATACGTAAATATTTACACGAATATATTAGTGTATTATGCAAGGATATACTCTTGCATAGTTAAAGGTGTACACCATCAGTGACTGAAGTGTAAACCTAATAGACTATAAACTAAACCGAAAAATTCACTTAAAGCTGCAGCTTTCCAATCTAAGTAAAAAAATAATGACACCAGGTTTACCTTAAAACGAATAGCACTGTGGCAATGTGTTATCGGCGTTTGTTCGAAGGCAAGAGAGATTTAACAACAATAGCATGCAGACAAAGGCCAGTGAATGTCGGAGGAAAAACTTGACGTGTCAGCAACAACTTATATATTTCAAGAATCAAATAACGTGGATATGTTACAAAAGAGGAAACTTGTTTAAAAAAGTCTCATACATTATTCGCAAGCTCAGTTTACCCATTCCTTGTTCTACTTGCATCACATTCACCCTTTGTTCCTCTGTAATAAAAAACAGATTTACACTTATAACATTACAAAATGATTTCTAATATTGTCACAAAACCCCTCTCTCCGCGAGGCACTTTCCTCAGTGTCTGGTTGTGGACATGAACATGCTATGCCTTCTTCTGATCGTATTTCGTAATAACTGGTGGCAGTTGAGGGTTAACAAAATGGGTATCTGATTGAACCGTCTTTCGGTCTGACTCCAACTGGCTATAGCGTACTGTCATGAGTTAGTCTTTAAGCCGCTGACGGTTAGGCAAGACAAAGGTACTGGGAGACCGAATAAACACAATTTCGTAAGGCCCTTGCCAAGGATGGTGGAACTTGCCACGCGCTCCTGGTGGAGACAGGGAGGTGCAGCCAAACAGGATCTCTAGTTTATGTACCAGCTCGTCAACTCCCCAACTGTACAAGTCATCCTGGTGTTTGCTGGAATTCTGTAGGTTGCTTTTAACCAGGTGTTACGCGCCAGCAAGACGGCTATGAGCATTATGAATGTGTGGTACGTGTTCGAACACGTACACTCGGGATCCCGAGCCTCATTTGTAACGAGGGAATTTGTATCCTAACAGGTGGACATAATTCATGCCAAAAGTTAGAGTGACTGGCGTGAACCCTTTGGACTCATGCAATGATGTGCAATAAGCTAAGAGACATTGAGGTATCGCATTATCCCAACATTCAGTAGAAATACTGATGAACGATTGTAGAAAAGCCTTAATAGTCCTGTTTATCCTTTCAATCGGGCCACTAACTTTCAGATGGTACATAGTGGTATGAGTTTTTCAGATTTTCAGTATTTTTGATACTCGAGTGGTGGGACAACTTACAAAGTGCACGGAAAAACAACCAACTTTCAAACTTCACCGCGCTTTCTTCCCCACGACCTTGAACGTCATAAATCTTCAGTCTTCAGTCTTCGGTAATAAGGATAGAAGGTCTAGTGACCTATTTTAGTCCTTGCAGTTTGTTACACTGTGGAGGTCCAATCTCGTCTTGAATATATCAACAGAAGGTGCTGATATTACGTGTTCTGGTAGAGAATTCCAGTAATTCACTACTCGGTGCGAGAAACGAAACTCCAGACGTAGACGATTTGATCTCGGTTTTTGGACTTTCTTTGAATGTCCTCTCAAATGCTCAGCCCTAGACGGGAGGAAAAGATAGGACATGTTAGTACCAAGGTCATCGTTCAGGATACGATATGCCAACATTAGATCACCCCGTATTCGCCGGTAAGATAACGGAAATAAGTTGAGGTGTCTCAGTCTGTCTTCATAAGATAGGCTAGATAAGCCTTTTACCATTTTTGTCCCGCGGCGTTGGACTCGTTCCAACATATCCGCCTCATATTTGAAACAAGGACTCGCTGCTTGAATCCCATATTCCAAATGTGGCCGTACGAAAGTTGGGTATAATAATCTAAACATTTCCCCATCCAGATACCGGAAAGATCTACGAATAGACCATAATGCCCTATAGCCTTTTGCAGCAGCAGCCTTACAGTGACTGGTTGTTTTGAGATCATTACTTAGTATGACTCCTAAATCTTTATAGTTTCTTACTTTGGGCAACACTAGTCCACATAATGTGTAGTGATACGAATCATCGTAGTTATTTAATTGCATCACAACACTTTTATTAGGGTTTACTTCTAGTGACCACCCATTCATCCATGCAACTAGTGAGTTAAGATCTTCCTGTAAAACTATTCTGTCTGACATACTATATATGGGTCTCCAAATCTTAATGTCATCGGCGAATAGTAGGACGGATGACTTAGCTATAGCTGGTAATTCATTTATATAAAGTAAAAAGAGAAGAGGACCTAAAATCGTGTCTTGGGGGACGCCACTTTTTACTAGTTCCCACGATGAGAGAGCCCCATTTACTCTTACCCGTTGTCTCCTTTCATGAAGAAAGTCACTTAGCCAGTCTATGACTGCATAATGAATTCCAAAACTTTCTAGTTTCAATTTAAGACCAGAATGGGAAACCTTATCAAAGGCTTTACTTAGATCTATGAAAATGACGTCTATAGGAATATTGCGATCTTTTGCCTCAGCCCAATCTTCTCTTGCAATGAGAAGATTTGTCAAACATGATAGACCTTTTCGAAAACCATGTTGTTCCTTTGACAAAAGATCATGTATTTCCACGTAGTTTATAACAGCCATCCTAATAATTTTTTCCATTAGTTTTACAACTGCACTAGTTAAGCTGACGGGTCGATATTTGCTAACTAAATCCCTACCCCCAGTCTTATACACCGGACTGATTATTGCGTCCTTCCAGTCTCTGGGCAATCTGGACTGCCTTAGGGACATATCGAACAGCATCGCTAAGGGTTCAGCAATAACATCTGAAAGGGCTTTCATAATCCGAGGATGAATATCATCAGGACCACTAGACTTATCAGGTTTGAGATGCTGGAGTAGGCTTAAAACAGTTTCTTTCTTAATAACTACAGGGTTCATCAATAAGTCGCCACAATCACAATGAATAGGTGATCGTTCCTCATTATTGGTAGAAAAAACTTTACTGAAATATTTCGAAAAAGCTTCCGCTTTTTCGGTATCATTTCTTGCCAAACTTAACGGATTTTCTTGTATCAAAAGTGATAGCATTCCATCACTTCTCTGAGTTCGCCTCTTTATATACGAGAATAACCGTTTTGGACTATGTTTGCAATCCCTAACCAATTGTTTTTCGTATGAACGTCTAGTTCTACTAGTTAACGCTTTACAATTATTTCTAATATTACGATAACTAGATCTGTACTGTTCTAAGCCGGTAGAGATGAACATGTTCCAGTGTTTTTTTCTACACCTAAGGAGTTTCTTAACTTTATTTATCCACGGTGGACTATTGTTCGGTCTACGTGGTAACAAGTATGGTATAAACGGGGACGTGACTGCACTAAACTTGCCTTTAAATACAGACCACGCCTCATTAACTGATGAGCTAGTATCTACTGACCAATCTATCTTAGTAGCACAATCCTGAATTTCTGGTATGTTATCTCTCCATATGTTTGGGCGAGGCTTAATCTGATCGTATATCATATCGCTAGCTCTAAACGTGAATGATAAAACAGCGTGATCGCTATTTACTAACGGGGGAAGAATATTTAGGTTGGCAATATCCTCAGTCTCATGGGTAATTACCAAGTCCAACAGAGAAGAACCTTGGTTTACACCGAAACGTGTAGGTTTGGATACATGTTGTACTAATGCATGTTCCATTACTGTTTCCAAGAGCCTGCCGTCAAATGAATTTATAGAGCATTTCGTGGTCATCTCAGTCCAACTAATGTCAGGTGCATTAAAGTCTCCTAATATCAAGCATCTGTTATTTGCACTCCATAGCCGAATGTGCTCTAAAATAAAGTCATCAGCTAAGCAGATTGGGCTGCGATAGATGACACCGAGTGCAAATGTACAACATCCGACAGTGAGTTCACAGCTAATGACTTCACTAGTTCCACTATTATGGGATTCGCAAACGGAGGAGCGGATATTTATACTATTGGCTATGTATAGAAGGACGCCACCTCCTTTCTTGCATCTATGTCTATCACTTCTTAAACAATGATATCCGGATAATTCTGGGGTGATATCGAAGTCATGGACTAACCAAGTTTCCGTCACAGCTACAATGAGTGGCCTTAATTTGTCCACTAATGTTCCTAGCTCGTAGAATTTATGTTTTAGACTACGGGCGCTGGCATATAAAACTCCTAGGGGGAACGACTATCCACACAGGCCTTGGTAGCATTCGCTTCCAAGACCTGACTATTCGAAAACCCACCAATCGGAGATTTTCTTCACCGTTTTGTCGACGGGTTTCTAGTTCAGCTAGTGCCGTCTTCCTTTTTATTCTATCTTCAAGAGACACATCCGGTCGCATCCGAATGTCAGAGTTGTCGTGACTTCGAGCGTTACTTAACAGAAGATTACGTTGTTTCTCCGACCCTAAGATTACCTTAAGGAGTCTACACGGTCGGGGTAGAACACTGTCATCGGCTCTTTTACCTATTCTAACTAATTTTTTGACCTGAACACCTTTAGTGTTATCTGGCAATATGCTACGGATATATTCTCCGAGCCTCTCTAAGTCATGGGTGTGTCTAACCTTAGGATCTGGATCGTTAGACTCTGGCAATTTGCTCACAATAATATTCGATGATATTAAATTCCTCTCAGTCTCACTAGGATGATGATCTGCCGTTCTATCAGGGTGCGATAATGCATTGAGTGACTCAGACTGTGAGTTCCTCAATGGCTTGTCAACCAAGTGTGCTTTATCCTCTTTACTGCGGTCCATTTTTGGTCATGCAGGACAGCTGCATTGGGACTATTGGGGACGCTGACGGTTTTATCCGGGTCCTCAATTTCTACTAAAGATACATGATTACTTATGTCAATACCATGTGGTGATTTACTCCTCGTTTGTTGTAACGGAAGTTTCACTTTGTCATTAATTAGAGTAGGTTGTTCAGTGCGTTTTGTAACAGCACTTACAACACTGACACAGTCTTCACTGTCAGTGCTTGCGTTACTAGCGCACCCACTATCTTTCTTTTTACAGGCTAGAGCCAATAGGCTCATAGCCTCTTGAATTAATGTCGTCTTGTTAGTACAGCAGAACATACAAAGCCAGTGCGAGTTAGGCTTAGAACATCTTTTGTATGCAGCTGGACTGAGACGGGTACACATCTTGTGGTACCATTTTTTGCATTCATTCCCTTCATCTACGGGGAATAAACAGTTCGGCTGTCCACATTTGAATGAACTACCAACCATTGTAATCAGATTAGGTTTAAAAAACAATATGATCACAATAATAGCACAAGCGTCTGAGTATATGCAAAAGAAGGAACCACGAGACAAAGTTTTCAATAAAATTTCAAACCTTAACTGGATTAATTCAAGTTAAAGTATACCAAGAATGCTTTTGATACAGCAAATACAAAAAAGCAACGATGATCACAACAAGTATGAATGATAGCATTCATTATGTATTTGAAGTGCCTGATGTCGGTTTCTAGCTAGATTCTCAGGTGTTTGTATATATACGTAGCCTGTTTATACCTGAAAACCACTGAAGTCACCAACGTCATAAACTATGCTCTTTTTCATTTTAGAACAAGTAATAAGCCGTGAGAACTACAAATCTAAGGTGACATTTCAGGTTCAAGTTGCTGAATCGACAGTCAATATTCCGCGTGGTTCTACTGCAGAATGAGTGCATGTAGTGTAGTAGTCATGTAGTGCTATGTGCAATCATCCTTGAAAGAGTTCAAGGATGATTTATGATCCGTGAACAAGACAATTGGCTTCAGAGGATAAGGAAAATAGGAGGCCGGTACTGGTCCAATCATCACCCTTAGATATAGTGTCCGAATGAGTTAGAAGAATGACTGGCTACAAAATCTCCATAACTGATTTGATCACATTAAAATGTATAAATATCAATATGACCGTAGTGAATGAATCGCTCGTAAGCTCATGATAAATGAAATGTATAAATAATGATCTGGTTACTTGACAATTATTCAGTAAAAGCATATGTGACAACAGTTCATAAATTAGTCCTGGAAATAAACTTTTCCCCAATCTTCGTTTTGATGTCTTTGTGTGCTTAACGTAAGGAGTGTCGATACACCTACAACGTCTTTCCCTAATTTCCTCTTCACCTATAAGTTTATTTATTTATTTATTTAAACACATATATTGGCACAAAAAGGCACCAGGTACGCATGCGCCACACAAAATAATGAAAGTAGGAAGAGAAGGGATGAAAAGATAAGGCGGACTGAAATGTACAACCAGAAAACACTTTCAGTTAGGAAAGTTAGAACCATTCTTTATGTAGAAAG